AAGAGAGTTCGCCGGACGAGCTCCTCCGCCAAAACTGTGACGCGGGCCACGGTAGGAGCGAGATTGCTCAAGACGAGTCATCCTCTCGTTGAGCTGGCGAACGTCATCTCGGATGCACGTGAGAGTATCGAAGATCTTCTTCACCCAAGAAGGTTCCGGTGCTTCTTCTCTTGGACGAGTCCTCCGTTGACGAGTGACGGGCTCCGTGGCTCGACTTCCTCCCGCTCGAGATGACTCTGCTTGAGTCTCGTTTTGTCTCTCTTCTTCTTCTTCTGCGACTATTAGGTCCATATTTGGTGCATCATCGCCCTCCTTTCGATACACGATCCGGGAAAACTTGGCTTCAGTGATGAAACACGTCTTCTTGACCGGCACCTGAGTGTCCCGAGTGAAGTCTATTTTGCAATGAGCAAGAATATGCATAATGGGGATGGCAAAACGGAGATGGGAAAAGCGAGTGCCATCGCTAAGTGCAACTATAAAGAAGTGAACCCAATCAAATTTGACATCGTTCAACAGGACGTGAAACAAACGAATATCGTCCTTGTTGACAACGCCATGGTTCAAATCACGGGGCAACAAAACATAGGAGAAGATGTATTGTTGGACGTGTTGAATTAAAGTGAGATTGATGACACTCGGGTTGCTAAAATTTCTAAACTTGAGGTCACGATGATCTAACCCGAGTTGTCGCCAAATTGCCTCATCTTGGAATGTTTCATCCAAGTTTTCGGTAATTTCACCGCGACGAAGGCCAAACAAAGAAGTCAAACCGGCACCGTCAATGAAAACGGTTTTGCCGTCAACATAGGAAATGAGAGATGGCAAACCTCCCTTAGTGGTACGAAGATTTGCATAAAATTGACGTATAAGATTTGGACAGAAGAATTCATACGTCAAATGAATGAAACGAAGCAAACCTTGCTAAAAAACAGAGACTTACTCGGGGCATAGGTCGCCGATTTGAAGAGGTCCTTGTTCATGATCTTAGGAGAGACAATCTCCTTCGTGAGGAACGTGTTGTGGAACCTCTCGACTGAAGCCCCAGTGTTGAAGGCGAGACCCGTTTGTATATGAATGTACTTGCTCCCTTCACGACGCCATGGCGTCTCACTCTCCTCTGCCGCGGTTTCTTGACCTGAGGAAGCGTTCTTGCACCTTGGCATTTTTCCTTTTTGAAATTGAAGAAATTTGGAAAAAAATGGAAGATATTTGAGAAGTTTATGATGAAGATTGAGAAAATTTGAGAAGGGAAGAAGCTAGGGTTTCTCTGATTCGAAAAAGGGAATGGCGAAGAAGACGAAGACTGGGTGTGATATAAGGCAAAAATCGACTATTAATCGATTAAACACAAGTATTTAATCGATTAGGGAACACAGCCGAGGCTAATCGATTAAGTTAAGCTTATTAATCGATTAGAAGTAAGCAGAACCAAACGTCTCTTTTCAAGCTATTAATCGATTAAACAGAGATGGTTAATCGATTCAGATGGACAGATGAGTCTAATCGATTAATTGAACAAAATTAATCGATTTAAAAGTGAATCAGCGCTAAAGACATTTTCGGATTTTAATCGATTAAAAGGAATCTAGTAATCGATTAAGAGGGACAGAGGCGACTAATCGATTTCTCTTCGAGGAGTAATCGATTAAAGCTTGTTTGACAAAAAAAATCATCAAGTCTAATTCAGTTAAATACCAAGGGAAGAGATACCTGCAAAAAAGAATTTATCGCGCCTCCGACGCTCAAATTAGTATAGTCAATAAAAAGAATGGATTAGTTCATAGAGATATCCAAAATTCCAAGTTCGTTCCGAATGTGGAAGAAACTCTCCCTACTAAGGGGTTTCGTGAAAATGTCTGCCAATTGATGTTTCGTTTCAACAAACTCAATTGTGACATCTCCCTTTTGGACGTGATCTCGTATGAAGTGATGCCTAATTTCTATGTGCTTAGTCCTCGAGT